CTGAAAATACAATTGGGTTTCAGGGATCTTAGTCCTCACACTGCTTGAACTGAAGGTCACTTTTTCTTTTCCTTTATGATAATTTAGAACATGAGACTAATCATTCCTGACTGTCATAACAGAATAAGAAATAAATCAGCAATTTAAGCTTGTATTAAGCAGCAACAATGTGTATTTCAATTAACATGCTACAGAGACTGTTTAGTACATGGAAGTGGCATTGTTGACAAAATCAATTACTTACTTAGGTATTGAGATCGTAGTCATATTTATACATTAGCATTTTGAAGTAATATGTATTGGAAATATAGCTATAGCCAATATGATAGTAATTGAACAGGTTCATACAAGTTAGCAAACAATTAATATTTCATCATTTTAAGTTAGGATGACTTAAAACCAAAAGAAAAAAAAGCCTATATTGAAGGCTACAAGCCACAGACAGCTCTTTGACAAATATTTAGGCACAAGACATTAAAGGAATTTTAAACATATGTTTGTTAAATTTTATTTTACTATCATTGAAATTTTAATATGGGTAGCTAAAATTGGACTTCATAATTCTGAATTAAACTCCACTACCCAAGAGTTTCCCATGAGACATAAAACAATGAAAATCACTAAGAGTGAAAGGCAAAGTTCTTCACCTACAGAAGAGGCACCCTAACAAAACAGCAAGCAGCCAGGCATTCCCACACAAAACCTAGTAACACACAAAAGCTTCAAACACTTCTGCATTTAGATGGCAGAATCTGATCTCAAATGGAAGTAAATCCCTACAAAACAACCAGGGTTTTGTCTCTTAGTAGTAATCCTTCTTGCTATAATGGCATGTACCTGAATAGAGTTATTAACCTGGGCTACATGTAGCGTGTTTTCATTTTTACACATTTATTTATCTTGTGTCTGTCATGTGCCATGGTACATGTGTGGAAGTCACAAGACATCTTGTGGGAGTCAATTTTCTTCTACCATTTGAATATTATGTTGGTTTAAACACAACAACAAGAACCTCAGAGTGCCCAGAATGTGTCTGTGTTTCACTTAGGAAAAGAAATTAGTAAAGCATTTTTCCTTGATGTCATTTAATCAAGAGCAAGGGCAGATTTCAATTCTCTATTTCCCTTCCTGTGTCTTCTGCCATTCCTGTATGTCTATTGTAGGAGAATGCATCTATGCTTGCCTGAATGCTATCTTGTGAGTCTGTTTCTCCCTGGCTCTGTCTGTAGGTCTCTAACAAAGAGCTTTGCTCTCTCGTTTACTGAATAGTCCAGAAAGAATTGACATGAGTAAGGTACTGTACAGCAATCTTTAAACAGAGTTTATAAAGGATGAAGTTACTGACTCCCACTGACCACACCTGACCAAGAAAACAAAGAGTACTACAAACATGGTTTGTCAAACAATATACATAGACTGTGTCCAACATTTATGGTAGATATTAATTTATTAAGGGCATTTTTCTTATGAATGGTTTTAAGCAAATATTAACACATATACTCATGCATTGCTCTCTGGGCTAGGGGCAGAGAAGAGTATATAATTTAAGATTTCAGCTATGCATTACCTTAGGTTGTAAAAGTTGATTATATGGAAAATCTAAAGCAAGTAAGCTTGGTTGTTTTCTTACATGTAGGATAAACAGCCTGAGTATACAGTGGGATAGCAGTCTTAAGTGACCTCAAAGTATATTATTAGTTGTGAGGTTCAGCAAAAGTTCTAGCTTCTTTGGGCAGAGGGGATGTTTCCCTAAAAATGCATCCCACAGGTTGTGGGTGAGGGGCAGGTTGGAGCTCAGGCCTCAGCATGTTTTGAGCCATGTCACTGACCTGAAGTGATTTATTTGCCTTCTTCCTCTACCTTCAGCCTGGCACTGCTCTAATTGCATGGCTTCTCTACCTGCTCAGGTCTGGGTTATTTTGCCTCTCATGTCCTGTCTATGACTAGGCCTAGGAGATTAAAATGAGAGAGTTCTAAATCACTTCCCATTTTTCAAACAATAATAACTCCTTCTGAATTAATTCTTGTCTAATTTTTGACAACTTAGTTCTCAGTTAATGAAGTACAAGAATATGACAGTCTCTGTGATCCTCTTGATCCTTTGTCCTAAACAGGACCACAAAGAATTATCTGACCTACTTCTCAGAACAGTTATAAGACCTTTTCAGTGCTATCTCGCCCATGCTGGAAGCAAGGAAGCTCCTTATCTCTGACTATAGGGATACAGCTGCCTAGAGAACAAACTGAAGCAGCAGGATTTGCTAAAATGCCAAAGGTGTTAGCACCAAGTCACACCCTTCCAATCTTTAAGCTTCCTCATGACTATCTACTGTTTATCAATCTTTAAATAAAAAGTAACTATTGTTCTCTATTTCCCTGAATCTTCATTTCAGAAGGCTCTTGTGTACATAAGATTTATATGAAGTAAATGTGTTTGCCTCAAAGAGTCTAATCATCATGCTAGGGAAAGGGACAATAATTGCTCTTCTCCACACCTACACCTCCATCTGAAGGTATAAAATGGTATAATTATGCTTAATTATCACATTTACAATATATATTTATTAACTCACACATTCTTTGGGGATCTCAAAGACATCTAAGAAATTGCCACTCCTTCACAGCTCTCTCATCTCAATCTCACATTGTCCCTACACCGTCACATCATTCTTTATGAATAGAGACTGGAGAAGACGTTACATGACCACATTTACCATCTATCATGTCCTCTATCTTTCCTCATACTTTAGGGATGAATTTTTCTACTCCCCCTTTGGTCTGCACACTTGTGCTTTCTTTGTGTTAATGTGCTGTGATCCTAACCCCCAGAAGAATTGCATCAGCCTGTCTGTCTTTGGGAAATAACTAGGTTATTAGTCCAGAATCCTCAAGCATGAGACAAACACCCTCATAAAGGAGGCCCAGATACTTCTCATCCACCTTCTGTCTTGTGAGGTTAGAGAAAACCACCAGCATCTGGGCACCAGGATGCAGAGACTAATCTGGGCTTGGATCTTGGGCTTTTCAGCCCTAGGGACCATGACTGTTAAATCCCTATTGTTTATCTAGTTTACAGCTTTTGTTACTGTGTCCCAAATGGGGCAACTCCCATCTTAACCACAGCAAAGCCCTCAAACTGAAGGTATTCTCAAGAAAATCAGGCCAGTAATTAATTCTTTCTTTATGAACAAATTTTGCCTCCCCACAAGACCATTACAATCAAAACAAAAATATGCTAACCTTCCTGACTCTGTCTACCACCACATGTCCTTGGTTAGTTCCTGTCTGCCTATTCTTTTTAAGTCCCTCTAATTAGGCTTTTGCACACACCATTGTTGAAAAACAACTTGTAACAAGTTACTTCTCTTGGGAGAAAAATGGGCCTATATTGAAAGGGGTCTTTGACTGCCCACCAAAACTAGATTAATAATAAGACACTCACTATAAATAATAGGTCTTTTTGAACCCTAAAAGTACCCTAAATTATAAAAGTGTTAGTAGTTGTTATAATAATAAACTACTTTGCCTACGTATTGTTTAAAAAAATAACAAAGAGCATTTAAAATCATTTTATTGACACATATTTTTACTTCCTCAATTTCTTTAACCTTTTAAATTGTAATTCTATTTTTCTTTCTTGCAGATGAATTGATCATAGACAATTTCCACTCAGAAAGAAACTTGTTTATAATTCTATTATACAATGTTGGTATTTTCAAGTACACTACTTGAGATTCTTTCTCATACATGATACTTTACAGAAGGACAAGGATTTCATAATGTTAAAAACCTCCTCTTTTGTTCTCTGAAAGTTTAAAGTACTGTCTTCCAGACCAACAGAATTTTATAGAGGATAAAGTTCAGATGCTAACGAAAAGCAAAACAGCCTCCAGAACAAACAAAACAGATTTTTAAAAAATAAAATTCTTAGAGAAAGGTTATTATTCACAGTACTGTTTATTTTCTGTACCTGCTCTACGTGTATTTTGTAAAATGTCATGTGCTTCACTACCACATTTCTGAGCTCCAAATATTCTAGAAATAGCAAATATGAAGTGGAGACAGAATGGCACCCGTAGCCATGGCAACCTTGGAGAGATGGAAGCCTGAAAGAAGAGAACTACAAAGATAAAAGAGTAGCCAAAAAGAGACAAAACCATTGTTTTCATCCAGTGTAAGAGTAAACACACAATAAACAAACTAACTTGGATGATTGGCTGAGGAAGAATAATTTCAACTTAAAAAAATATTTTTAATTCCAAGTCATTGGAGCTCTGACTCTGGAGGTTGCTCTGCTATCAGAAGACACTTTAAGCACTATGGTTAACATACTGGTTTTCTTTCGAATTGAGTAGTTTTCTATCACTGACCCATTAAAGATTTGCTAGCAGAATATGTGACTCAGGAGGAAGATGACAAGCTTAGCCACAATCCCCCCCTTTGTACGTAATAAATGAAGACAAGCAGTAACTTATTTGGATGGTGGGGGGTCTGAGTTCTGCAGATACATTTATATGTCAGGGACTGAGATAGAAACTATGGAACTGATCCTCTGGTTGCCTCACTGCTCCCTTTCACATGAACCAGGAATGTCTACCACATCCATAAGAACCAGTGCCAGAGGAGAAACTCAGGATTCCATGCTGTGTGGAATGAATGTGTTAGGGACAATGTTGGGGGAAAGGTGGATTCCTGAACTACTAGCTCACAATGAATCTGTGACTAGTAAGGGAAGCTCTGAGATCCAAATCTCTTTAATGACAGACAGCCATCAGCCTCCTTCAGCCTGGGACACACTGCCTTTTGTCACACAAAGTCTGTCTCAGTTCTGTCTGCAGGGTGGCTTAAACAGTTTTCAATTGTTTCCCTCCTCCCCTCTGGGGACAGAGCCACATCATTGCTACAACTTTTAAGAGACTGGATACTTCATCTAGTCCTTCTTGTAAGTATTTGAAAACTTTTACATTTACTAAAATTAAAACAATTTAAAGAAAAATTACCTTTAAGGCTGTTTTGAACTCCTAAGGCTATATCAAGGGCATTGAAGGGCAGAACAGGTTCACTGGCAATTTGTAGAATTACTTCTCCTGAGAGCTGAAATGAAAAGAAAAAATAATTTGTAGCATTCAGTAATTAAGATTGTCATTTATTTATTTATTGGTTATTTCACATTTTATTATATACCCACAGTAACAATAAAAAGAAACAAATTTAGTTTTGTAAAATCCTTTTCCTTTCAAATTGTTTTTGAGTTTATATTTCTGTAAAAAATAAAAAGGCTGGATAGCTTTCTCATGTCATAGGATAGTATAAGCATTTAATGGCTCATTCTTTTTTGACCTACAATGTCGAGAAGTTAGAGTTTGAAACAATTCTTTATATTCAAAAAAGGATCAAACATTTTAGAAAAATAACTTAAAAAAATCAACCTCTGGTTATTGAACTAATAAAAACTCTAGACACAGTTAACCATTGTTGTATTTCATTTAATGCATAATCAGTCTAATACATTTCTTTAGTCCCTTGGGTATGCTTTCTTAATGCTTAATTTTATTCCCAGTCATGCTTCTGAAATTTATCAAAACCAATGCTATATACATATATACATACATTTTTTTACAGAACACACCTCAATTTGAATTCAAAAATTAAATAAATCTTTAAATGGCATTACGCCAAAGACATGATGGGACTTTCTCATGTGCATACCCCTCACTCCACTCTAAAGCTGTTTTTGAAAACTGACCCATGTGCCACACCTGAGGTAGTGCATGCTGGTCACCTTCTGCTAGTCATCTGCCTTCACACAGCTATCACAGGACTTTAAGGCTACCAGCAAATACCATGCTACACCTTTTTTTCCCTCATAAATGATATTTAATGTTTTCCAGGGCTGCACAAATGTCCCTGTGTCTCTTACGAGCCTGAATCCAAGCTCAGAGTGAAACAAGACTGTATTGATATTATAAATATTCTAGGCATTGTGGCTAGTGCATAAAAACTACACATGGAAGTCAGAACGTGAGTCAGAACGTGAGTCAGGACAGAAACCACCTGAGATATAATATACCAGCTAAACAGGATTTTAGATATCCAGATCTATATATTCAAGAAGCCCCAAATCCTATATAAGTTAAAAACTGTACTTCCCTATTGTTCACACAATTCATTTCATGGTAAGAATGCAATTCAATCTGATCTGTCCAGGCTTGGGAAAAAATGTGTTTCTGGGAAATAAAGAGGAGAGATTCTGTTATTTGTTGGAGGTATTTTACTCCCATATATAGCAATGGATTTTCCCCAATGGCCAAGATATCTTTGCAGAGTTTGATCGCCAGCATATCTGTTGTAAATCCCATGGGAAGCTGCTGCCTGATCACACTGTGCTTTAGGAACAGAAAATTGCCTGCAGCAGGTTGTTAGGAGTCACCCTTGTACTCCACCTGCCCTGTCCAAATCATGCACTGAACACCAATATTTGGAAATAAATTATTTGTAAAAGAAAACTTTAAGTTATTAGGAAATAGGAAGATTCCTTTTCCAATCTGCATTGGATAATGGGAACTACAAAACAGACACGCTTTGTGGATGCTTTCAGTACCTGGAAGCTGCACTTTACAAAAGATTCAAATGAAGTGGGGGGTGAGGAGAAGAGTGACTGTGCTGATGGAGAACACTGTTTTGTTCTGTTTTAAAAGAGTTCGTTTGGCAGCACCAACAGCTGGAATATATGCCAGTCACCCTGCTACTTGTTTGGAATAGAACCTGGCAACAAAGAGTGGGACTTTGAAGGCACCTGGGCCATGATAGATGCTAAACCAGCTCCTTTTGTGGCTTCCTAAACGAGAGGGAGAGTGGTGTGCCCAGTGCCATGTGAGGGGAGAAGAGCTGTGCTGTAGGACAGCCTTCCTCAGACAGGAGAGTGCAAACTTCCCTGATGCTTACATGAGGCTTGGGTGCACCTCCTTGTAAGGAAACCCTTAGAAGCTGGCAGTAGAGGAATTCATTGCCATTCCTATGGCTGAAAGGACCCACACCAAGAAAGCATTAAAAATAATGGTAAGAGCTAAATACCAAAGACAGTTCTGGAATCAGATGCTGTTCAGTTCTTACACCACTTACTGCTCACCACAGCTGAGCAGAGCAGGTGTCACTGTGGTTTCACCCTAGATTATGAAACCAAACCTCAGAAAGTTTCGACAACCTTCTCACATCACCACACAGAGCCTGTTGTGAAACCAAAGCCATTTTGTTGTATCTTATGCTGTATGGAAGAGTCTTGGAAAGGCCTTTTCATTGATTATTTCTAAAGAATTAAAAGTAGATTCTAAAACTCTCTGTCCACACTCCTATTTGTAATACATACACATGCTTTCTGACTTAAATACATTAGTTTCTTGTAATATTGGCAGGCATTTGTCAGACCCTTAACTCCTAGACAGTGGTGACACCTAGAGCCTCATGTGGTATTGTCTGACGTACCGTCCATGTGTATATCTGGGAAAGTAAGTCTATAACTCACATGTAGATGCAAAGGGGCTACCGGGAGGTAACTAGGTTTAGGCTTGGTGCTGTGGGTTGCCCAATAAAGGAATACACAACTGAAAGGAGTGCAGTTGAAGCTTACATGTTCTTGTGCCCTTTGATCACAAGCACCCTGCCCACCCTGTTATCACCATGTGACACTGACCCCTTGTTACTGAACTTCTCGGCCTTCAAAGCCATGAGCTGAATAAACTTCTACTGTTTATTAGTTTCCCACAGTGAGATACTCTGTTAGCAACATGACATGGACACTGCAGTACACAACATTAGCAGAGGGCAATTGTGAGATTCCACAGAATAACTAGGCAAAGGGATGTAGTGACACTTGGTGGTTAAGAGATGGGCTACTGTTACAGAGGCTGGGGCTCTCTTCCCAGCCCCACGAGGTGGTTCATAACCAACTGCAACTCCAGCTCCAAGCGATGTGAGGCCATCTTTGGCCTCCTTGGTCACTGCACTCATGTGCACATATCTTCACAACCTCACCCCAGCACATACATATTCCTGTATTAAAAATAAAAACTCAATGAAGCACATAATCTAATCTGCTTTCATGACCCACAGGATGGCTCAGGGATAAAAGCACTTGCTATACAAACCTGATGATCTGACCTGAATTGAATTCCCAGATCCCATGATGGAAGCAGAAAGATAAATTCCAAGAGTTGTGTTCTGACTCCCACATGTGTAGCGTAGCACTCCACACACGGTGCACATGTACACACAGGCAAGCCCACACATGGTCCCGGGACCCTCCCCTCTCTCTTTCTTTAAGGCTATCTTAACCCTGATTAGAAGGTAATGCAATGGAATAAAAACTTATGTATAGAATTAGGAGTATTTTAAAGAAGTTAAAATGAGTTATTGAGTTATTTAACACTACAGGCCAAATCTTTCCTCCTTCACTAAAAACACTGATGTTCATGATTGATATCCTGGAATTGCAGACTTTAGTCAAGATTCAGCATCTAAAGATAAAACCACAAAGCAGTGTCTTCCCAGTTGTAAGGAGAATAGAAGCAAATCACATTTATTCCATATGTAAGTTTGTCTATCTTCATCCTGAAATAGTTTTGTAATATTTAAAAGTTCAAAAGAGTACTTTAAGTAAATTTAATATAGGGACTAGACATACAGATTCTATAATTATAAATAATTATCACAAAATATTATAATTACATAACTGATTTTTATGAGCCCATGTTACATATTCATACACTTATTTCTCTTAAAGTTACTAAGTAATTTATCCATCCCCACATCAACCTATAGGATTGTATTTATATTTTCTGACTTTCTCCAAAATCTTTCTCTTGCTTATCAGACAAGTCTAGAGAGGAAAACAAAACAAAACAAAAAGCATTTTTTCCACAAGTTGTTAATATCTAAAAAAAAGAGTTCTATGGTGATATTTCATTTGTACTGAAATGTGATTTTATTTGTATGTTAATAAATAAAGTTGCCTGGGGGTCAGAGCTAACAGCAAGCCATAGCAGATGCCGGGCAGTGGCGGCACACACCTTTAATCCCAATCACATGACAGGCAGATCTCTGTGTGTTCAAGGATACAGCCAGCATGGAGACACACGCCTTTAATCTCAATACCAACCATAGAAGACCTGGAGGTCTGTATAGGCAGTCAATGACGAGGAGGTCATGTGGTTGGGTTTACAACCAATGAGAAGGCAGAACAGAAAGTCAATAAAAAGACAGATACACAGGAAGTAGGTCTCTTTCTGAGGGGAAGGACGGCAGTGGCAGGAAGGGTAAGAAGTCGGTTTTAAGTCTCAGCTTTCATCTACTGCTCTGACCTCTTGGGCTTTTAGCTCTGTATTTGGCTCTGTGTTTCTTATTTAATAAGACGGTTACATCTACAGAGTTCTTTTTCTCTACTTAATCTGACCACTGTATCCATTGGTCAGCCTTGACCATATTTATAAAACAAGCTTTGAGCTGACTCAGTAGTTAATGATAACACAATATTATACAAGGCATACACAATTCACTAAGGCAAACTCATGGATCTATGGTACAAATTTTCTTTATTTTCAGTCCAAGAAAATTAGAGAACATTGTTAGGCTTGTTCAATTTTATACATCCATATTAAAGTGAACACAGCTAATATCCACTATGGGGTTGATTTTATGTACCTGATCAAATATACAATACAGTAGAATTTTACAATAACAGCTGCCACTGTGAGATAATCACAGCACGTGCTTTTTAGGTCAATGAGATATAGAGAGAGATCCGGAGACTCTGAGGGACACTGAGTTACATGGGCATGGTGTGACACATAGTCAAGTAAATAAACCATGAGCCCAGATCCGTTGATGCTCCCAATGCCATCTCTACTGTTCTATGGTGTGGAGAAGAGAGCAAAAATCTAACAATGAAGTAAGTCATGATACTTTCACATGATTAGGAAACAATTCAACAGCAAAGTTGGTTTCCTTTAAAGCACCACATTTTACTTCTTACCATACCATGTAAGCATGATGCATAGAATATGGATTTGAGGTTCAGGAAGATTGAGCAAAGAGGAAAA